GACATACTGCTGCCAACATCATGTTATGGATGGAATAGGTGATAGAGAAATTTGACATCTTGCCTAGCAAAATTAAAGCAATAGTACACGACAACGGGTCTAACATGGTGGCTGCAGCTCGACTGCTGGAAGAAAAACATGGTTGGTTTTCTGTGCGCTGTGCTGGGCACACTCTCCAACTTATTGTTAACAGTGCCCTCAAAGAGCCCAGCATCAACAAAGCCACCGGTGCAGCAAGAAACTTAGTGGAGCACTTTAGGAGAAGTGAGCTGGCAAATTCAAAACTGAAGAAGAAGCAGCAGCAAATGAACACAGCAGAGCACAAGCTGATCCAGGACGTAAATACGCGATGGAATAGCACGTACTACATGATGGAGAGACTCTTGGAGCAGCGATGGCCAGTCACAGCGACCCTCTCTGACCCTGAGGTAACACCTAGAGGCAAGCACTACTGTGACCTCAAACCAGAGCAGTGGGTGCTACTTGAAGAGCTGGTGCAAGGGTTGGGGCTTTTTGAATGTGCAACTGTTTTCCTCAGTGGACAGGAGTATGCTACTGCTTCATGTCTTCCACAGCTGGTCAAAGGTCTGCAACGGTCCATACAGCAAACACAGTTTGAGACGAGTGCAGGAAAAGCCTTTCGAGCAATTGCAGGAAAGGGAATAAGTGAGAGGTGGGAGAATCTTAACACTGTGTCTGCTGAGAGAGACAACCCACTTGTTCTTGCAGCTGCCATCGACCCAAGATTTCGAAAGATGAAGTTTATCTCCCCTGAAGATGGCACAAGGGTGCAAAGCACAATTGAAGTTCTTGCCATAAAAGAAGCTAAGGCTGAGACTGGGATACATGATGACCCTGAGCTACAGCTGAAGAGGAGGGGCAATGTCTCAGGGGTAAAGTCAGCGCTGGATAACCTTCTTCAGTCCGACACTGACAGCCGGAGTGAGGAAGAGGAGGAGACCCAGGAGGACCAAAAAATCCAAATGGTGAGGAGGGAAGTTCAGCTGTTCTTCACAGAGGCACCAATAGGCAAAAAGGATGATCCGCTCAGCTGGTGGAGAGAAAATGAGGGCCGTTTTCCCACACTGTCCAATGTAGCAAGATCCCTTTTGTGCATTCCTGCAACATCCACCCCAGCAGAGCGAATCTTCTCAGCAGCAGGAAATATCTGCTCGCAGAAGAGAGCAAGTCTCACACGAGACCATGTTGATATGCTGACTTTTCTTAGTATAAATAAACTGAACAACATATCCTGAGCCTCATCTTGATTTTAAACCTGGTCTGTCCACCATGACAAGTTTGTGTCAAAGTTATATCACACAGCCCATGTTTACAACTTAAGTAAAGAAAGCTCTGAATGCTTATTTTCAGCTGTATCTACTAATGTTAGTTGTTAATACCGTTAGATTTCAGACTGTTGAGAATTGTAAAGTTCTTTTGCAACAGACAGTTGACCACAGAATGTACTTCACAAAATGCACATCTTTGTTTTATTTAATGTTCTGCTGCTGCTAATGAGCCTGTTCTTGGTTTACTGGGGAAAAATGTTTATTTGATTTTAATTTATTAATCATTTATTTGCCTGTACCTAAAAAATGGACAGAGGTTTATTTATTTATAAATTTTACGTCTCTGTTGACTGAGCACTGTGCCTAATTGAAGTTAGGACATTTTTATTTAATTTTTGTACAAATCCACAGTATGTGCAATAAAATAAGTTGTTTTCATTGTAACCACCTTTTTTGTGTTCATTATCATGTGCCACATAATTAAATCAACTTCATTCTGAATTTAGAAAAAAGTAATAATTATCCGATTAGTCGACTAATCGTTTTAATAGTCGCTGACTAGTCGACTATCAAAATAGTCATTAGTTGCAGCCCTAGTGGGAATAAATGCTGATAAAACCATCAGATCTCAGCTCTGTTGGATCAGTAGACTGTGGATTATTGGTCTATCTAAAGCAAGACGCTGCAGAGCTGGAGAAAAACATCTGATCTGAGAGGTTTGTGTCTCACATCAGAACCAGGAAGCTGCTGGAGGTTCTGATGCAGAAACAATCAGACTCACCAACTCTCAGGTTAACGATGCTGAGGAGGTCAGTGTCCAGAGGGTCTCTCTTCCTGCAGCTGTTTCCTCCCTGAACGACTCGACACTCATATGTTCCTGAATCAGCAGGCGTTGCCTCCTTCAGGATCAAAGAAGCGCTTCCATTCTCCACATCCTGCAGTTTCACCCGGTTCTTAAAGGATGGAGACTGAGAGCCGTCATTAACTCTATTGTCACTGAACAAAATAACAAATTGATCAGACTCCAGATCAGTTCTGCTCCATTCTGCAACATCAAGCTGTTCCCTTAAAGGAGCTCTGCATGGCAGAGTGACGGTTTCTCCATATTTAACTCTGATGGTTTTCTGATCTGCAGGAGAGAAAAACAACACAGATCATTTTAGAGAATCCTTCAGAAGGATGCAAACCAACATGAATATTGCCTTTTTGTGGGTTTTGAACCCTCCATTTATCCACCAAGTTAAGTTCCTTTATAAAACAATGTAAAGCTTTCATGGCAATGAAGAGATTCTCCAAGATAGATCATTATAAAAATCAGTATTAGTGCAATCAGTACAATATTAGTCATTAGGTCCATAAACATTAATCATATTAATCTGAGTTGATAGAATATTTCTCTGTACAATTTAAAAAAATCTACAATTTGGACTTTGATATTTTATCAATGTGCAAATGAATGGATTTATGAATCAAAATTATAACTCGTATGGAGTTAGAAGAATAAGCTAAAAATAATAAATGACCTGGCCGTCTGTGTTTAATTTTTATTGTCTCATGGTGCAGAATGAGTTTCCTGCAGAAGCAGGATTTTGGCTCTCATCTGTTTTGTTCTACTTAGTACTTTAATTTCAGTAAGTTTATGTCAATTATCTACAATTTCAAAGAGACACATACAACCAAACATCTGTGTTTTGTTGTGGTGTAATTATTAAAATAAACAAAGGTTAAATACATTAGTTTATGCACAGCTATATAAAAAATAAAAACACAAACAGAACAGGGTATTGATAAAGCCTAAAAGAAGAAGAGATCAACCCACCCAGGCCTGCCCCCCCTAGAACATGCAGGCTGCCCCAACACCCTAGATTGCTTCCATTTACTATAAATCCCTCTATACTGAGGAACTATTTTACTGGAAACCAAAACTCAGCTCAGTGGCTAATTCATGAAAACTAAACTACCCAAATAAGTCAGTTTTTCTTATAACTAAGAACAAAATGTAGGCTGTACTACATACACATAACTTTAAGACACATACATTTAGTGTAAGTTACTCATTAGTCGTGTCATCTACGGTAGCTTATCCAAAACCTCTGAGTAACTTGTGCAGGACTTGCATGTTTAACTGATCAAGAACTTCTCTCTAATGCATATCAACATATCTGACGTGTTCCAGACGACTGCTGAGCGTATTTCTAACTTCCAGCTAATGTATAATGGCGTATTGGCAGCGTTTTAATATAAAAGGGGCTCACAGGAGGAAACCTTCAGTACTCATCCAGACATTTGATGTACCTCAGATTAACCCCTACACACCTACTGGTACCCAGCAGGCCTAAAGATTTTACAAGTTTAATAGAAATTCTCATTTAATCTAGTGGACATCACTCCCTGGCTCCAGCCTCTTGTTTCATATATATATATATATATATATATATATATATATCACATTGTTAAAAATTTAAAATCTTTGCTCATCAGATCAGAATCTTTCCGTCCACATTAATATTTCATGTAACCTCCAGTAAAACATCCCAGGATTGCCCTTGTGTCTGAGTTTAAACCTAAAGCCAGAAAGTCTTTAGTTCATTTGCATCATTGTGGACAAGAAGAGGTTTTCTTTTTGTGTCCTGATTGGTCAGACCCCGTATGGAGACTCTCAATAAAAGGAAACAGCATCTAATCTGAGATGTTTTTCTCTCACATCAGGAACCAGGGTGCTGCTGGAGGTTCTGACAAACAGACTCACCTGGTTTAACTTTCAGACCAACGGTGCTGATGATCTTAGGGTCGAACTGATCTCCTGCCTGTCCAACTTTACACTCATATGTTCCTGTATCAGCAGCCGTCACGTTTTTCAGGATCAAAGATACGTCTCTATTCGTCACGTCCTTCAGATTCACTCGGTTCTTGAAGGATCCACATGTAGAATCTGAATTAACATGTGGCTCTCTGTACAAAAGGGCAAGCATTTCGACTCCCAGATCAGCTTTGCTCCACTCTACAAATGTAACATCTCTGTTCCCAGCTGCTATACATGGCAGAGTGACGGTGCTGCCAGGTTCAGCTCTGATGATTCTCCGATCTGCAGGAGAGAAAACATCACAGAGTAGAGAAGTTAGAGAGGAGCTCTGAACATTATCAGAAACACTGCTTGGTTAAAAAAAAAATAAATTATATAATTTTATTGTGAAATTTTCGCATTTCCTGAAATAAAAAAAATCAACAATTCACCAGATTTTGTTGCTTTTCTCATTCAACAACTGAAGGCAGGACCCAGCCCCCTGATGGATGATTAAATCTAAACCTAGTAGTATCATTTATCTCTGTAATTCATTAAAAATAATTATGAAAAATAAAAAACAATATAAACCAGTTCATTATGGGTTATGGTTATAAAAAGTGTGTTTTACTGATATGAGACGCATTTAGTAATGTGAATGGATGAGAAAGTGAAGCAAAGCTACCAGACCAAGGTAAGAGTCTGCAGAGGAATGAACCAAACCAGAATTCTTACTAAGTCTACGTTCACACTGGAGGCCAATTCCAATTTCTTTGTGAAATCCGATTTTTTCGCGTTGCCGTTTATAATTCCAAATATATGCGACTTGTATGTGATCTCCTGTGTGAACTGCAGTCATACAAAGCAAGTGTCCTGCATGCGCAGTAGAGGACGCAATGACGTGTTTACAGAAGTAAACGAGGATGGTAATGCCAGCGCGCATCAAGCGATCTTTTCCAAGCATAAAAACTCATTCTTTTCAATATGGTTAAACATAAATACTGCTCTCTGTGTTATCGTTCACCATTCGTGGTTGTTTTTATTGCCGCTTCTGTGTAGCAAGATGCAGAATAGCAATGTTTGTCGGGTATTAATTACGGCCAGGTCGAATTCATCCTACCCGCATTTGAAAAGATCTAATTCCCATCGGATTCAGGACCACAGAGCCAAGCGGTCTGGGTCGGATTGGAAAAAAATCGGATCTGAGTTGTTCAGACAGCCATGAAAAGATCAGATCCAGGTCACATGTGGGCCAAAAAAAAAAAAGAAAATCGGATTTGGGTCACTTCAGGCTGCAGTGTGAACATAGCCTTTATGCTGTCAACCTTTCCTACATTGGAGTCCAATGTATCAGCAAATCTGACAGGATACAAATTTATTTCTCTAATTTATATTCTGGTAGCATTCCAGATAATTTTACTAGCAGCTGTTGTCTACAAAGCATTTTATAAATGAATGGATTGTCTGGAGAACATCTTCAAGGCTGCAGCAACATATGATAACTTGTTATATATAGATGAGAATGCGATGACTGTGTCAGCCTACATTAACAAATGCATTGAGGACATCAGCATTAAAAAAAGAGCATCACCACCCTGGTTAAACAACCACCCTGGATAAATGGAGAGGTTTGGAAATAGCTAAAAGCACAGAACTAAGCTTTTAAGTCTGGTGATAAAGAGGCGCTGAGAACAGCAAATGCCAACTTAAACCATGCCATCAGATCAGTGAAGCAGAACCAGAGCCAGAAGATCCAGGATCTCTTCCACAACATCAGCAACACCAGGAGGATGTGGAAAGGCATTCAGAGGATCATGGACTACAAATACAAGCCTCAGGTCACCTCACTCAATGATTACCGGCCTGTCTCACTGACTCCAATCATGATGAAGTGCTTCGAAAGGCTGGTTAAAGAACTTCAGGAAGAATCGGCCTAACCACGATCCGCTGGTCATCAACAGCTCAGCTGTAGAGGTGGTCAGCAGCACCAAATTCCTGGGGGTGCATCACAGACACCCTCACCTGGACTGGAAACACCACCTCACTGGTCATAAGGGCACAGAAGTGCATGGACTTCCATCCTGAGGAGAATGAGGAGAGCCCACCTGCCCCACCCATCCTCCCCACCTTCTCCAGAAGCACCATAGAGAGCGTTCTGACCAGCTGTCTCACTGTGTGGTGTGGAGGCTGCAGCGCCTCAGACTGGAGGAAGGTGAGAACAGCAGAGAGGATCATGGGGGCTCCTCTTCCCTCCATTAAAGACATTTCATCCCAGCGCTGCGTGTCCTGAGCCCCTAACATCATCAATGACCCCTCATCCCCCCACCATGGACTGTTCTCCCTGCTGCCCTCTGGGAAGAGACTTCACAGCATTCAATGCAGGAACAGCAGATTCCAAAAGAGTTTCTTCCCCACTGCCATTAGACTGCTGAATGTTGAGTAAAATGGGTTATTGTATTTTATTATATTTTATCATTATATTAAAAA